GGAAGCCGTACTTTGTCAATGGGACACTTCGAAAAAGCCTGTTAAGAATGCCGGGGGTGTGACACGATCTAAACTCTCTGCTCATAGCACCTCTCTTCCTTTTCATCTCGTTTTATCATTGCTGTCCAACGCCTGAACCTTGTAACTTCTATGTTCACTCGCCATAGCCGTTGCCTATTTCCCTTTCTCTGTGTTTCTCCGCCGCAGATGTAATGCTTTGAACCAACAGGAGTCTTGTTTGAACCTTCCGAGACTGTTTTTTACTTCTTTTTTCACTGTTGAAATACTTAGCGCCTTTACATTCCCCTAGTGATTCGTGGTACGGTCTGTAGTTGCCTAATGTCGGTAATGAATGACTTTTATGAAGAACGCTGTGACTTTTATATAAGTATCCCTCAGCGATTGCCTTTTATTTACTTAGCTGTTGGTTCTTTGTAAATATTGCCTTTGTGTGACTCTTTGTTCCATGTTTCACTATTTGTAAATGAATTTGTTGAGATAATGATTGCAAATTTGGAACTATAATTTGAGGAATTACGTTTCAAAACTACGCCAACTCGACATACGGTTTTTGACCTATACAAACGGTACTATATAATAATTTCTATCGGTTTACTCACGCACGATCGAAAACACCCACTGTTCGTCAACATCTGGCCCGAAACTACAGAGATCACTGCCTTCTGCGGGGTTTATGGCGAGCTTCTCCCATCACGTGCTCAGGTAGTAGGCGAAGACTCTTCTGATGGGTGGGCACTCTTAGCTAAACGGGTTTCTAGGTTGGGTAATCACGGTTTCTGCAATACCATGGTTAAAGGCAGAATTAGCGATAAGCCAGTGAGAAGTTCATTGGTATCGGACTTGGAAGTAGAAGTGCACGTGCCAGTTAACTCGCTCGTGAATAAAAAGCAAAGCTTTCCCTGGGCTAAGTGAGAGACAAAAAATTGATGTGGTTTTTGGGCGAGAGGCCAGACAAGAGTGGCGAGGGAGCACCCAGACGACTAAGACCACCGACAAGCGGTTTCCTCTATCTTCCCCTTCAAAGAGGGTAGATATTTATAGGTGAACGTGCCTTGCCTTCAACCATATGAGATGACATTGGAACGTGTACCTCCAACTCAAAAAAAGCTATCTAGATGGGTCGACACATTGATGGCAAGCAAAGTGTCCTCCCTCCCCCCCCCGTCGCCGAACTGCTCCCTCTCAGAGTTCTTAACAGATCTGGGTGACCTGAATGGAGGAAGTGTAATGACAAGTGGCTTTCTACCGCGGTCGCGCACGGTCCGTGGGTAAAATCGTGGATCGGCTCCCGCCCAAGCTGACCAGGCCTTCTTTCCTCGGGGCACAAAAAGAAAACGTGAGCCACTATGGCTTTGATGGATATTTACCGGATCCAAAGAAAAGGAATTGGTAGACAGTAAGAACTTTATTCATTATCGTGAGTAACTACTTGTGGTGAAGATTCCTTTTGTGAACACGGAGCAAGGAAGGTACAGGGAGAAAAGCATTTTCGAAGAGTTACCTCCCGATCTGTATCCATACCAGGGCGATTCTCCAATAGGGAATGTTTTCCAGGGCGAGATCTCTCTTTCGCTTGACGAAGTACAACTCATCTCCCGCGTGGAAGAATTCCCAACGGACGACGTGCCCTGGTTTTCTCTCTGCGGCCATGTCGACTCTCTCCCCTCTCTATCTATCTGCGACTACGTTGTGCGAGACTTTACGGCGACTCTTGTAGTCTGCGCTCTGCTAAGCCCGACCTTTAGAGAAAGTAACACAATGGACCTAGGGATCCCTCCCCCGAACTGCATTGGTGCCCAACTCTCTTTACGTTGGTTGAATAACTATGTCGTACTCCAAGATGCGTCACTGTGAGAAAGCAGCCCCAACCGCTCATAACGT